TTTGTTTTCTTTTTCGGTTTTTTTTTTTTTTTTTTTTTTTTATAAATGCACGCTTTGACCATGCATAGTATTGCATACTTAAAAAAACTGAAAAAAAATGGGCAACGGCCTTGCGATATCATGCGCATCAAGTTCCGTCAACTGACCAACCCCACAGGTTATTCAGAATCATAATGATTGTTCGATTGCATTCATCTACTTCCATCATCTGGGTTCGAACTCAGGTCTGGGTTTCAACAGTCCTTGGGTTTACCAACTGAGCTACCGTCTTCACCCGAATAGAATGCCTGCCCGGTCATTATCGCTGCATCTGGACTGAAAATGATGCCGAATACAGCTATAAAAAGCCTATAATGACCGGGCGGTTCTATCCGGGTTAAGACGGTAGTTATTCTACGGAGTTCTCGGAGTTCTGATACTGTTTGTCTGTGCGACTCTGCGGCTCTGCGGTGATGTGTACACTGCACAGGCATTTGTGCAATGTGCGGGAAGCAGGTGCTGGACACGTCCATGTACAAGCAAAGCGCAGTCTAAGGGGGGAAAAGAGAGGGTGGGGGTGTCGCTTCTGACGTGAGGCGATCGAACAAACACTTCTGATGTCTCTCTCGGACATGAGGCGAACGGACAGACATTTCTGGTGGCAAAGTATCGAGACAGCTAGCTGGTCCAGGAGGTGCAGATTATCTATCTACGGCTAGCGGAGCACTTGCAAAGTATCTGCGGCTAGCTCAACCCCATGTGGATTGGATTACACTACCTGTTGATCGACCAAACCCCCAACCCAACCAGCCTCAGACAGGTGGCAGTAAAGTATGGGCCTCCATAACAGCTGGATGTGTAGGAACGACGATAACCAGAAATAGCTCCTCCTGACGTCAGCGACGACAGGTGGTATTTGCTGCGACGTGGAGCGGTATGCAGCGGTCTGCAGCATCTTGTTCGAGCTCAGAAATAGCTCCTCCGGACGTCAGTGCGGCAGTCAGCGATACGGTATATTCGCGAAGCTATTCCTTTTCTGGACCATGTTGCTGAAACAAGCTCAACTTTCTACAAGCCCAGCATGACGCTTTGTGGAAAAGCTATGGTGGAGAAGTGTGTGGTGGTGGTAGAGACGGTGTGATGATGTGATGGGCATATGATGTTTTGTCAGTGATGTAAATGGCTGGCTGTCTTGTTGAATGGACAGACAGATGGCTAGACTTAGGAAGGGAGGGAGGGGGAGAGGTAGAGAGGGAGGGAGGGKGGGAGAGATGGGTGGACGGAAAGAGGAAGCGAGGGTCAATGTACATAGCTGGGTTCTTGACCAGGTTGATTGGTCAGCGTATCTGTCAACAAAGAGCTTCACGAACTTTCGGTGAGTCACAAGCGAGAGGTTCACGGAGTTTGGCGAATATGATGCATCTGCCCGAGTTCTGCTTTGAGTAACAATACGATGAGGAGGCGGAGGCGGAAACCAAGACAAGGAGTGGAGGCGGAGGGGGTCTGAGACGGATGATCTACTCATGGTACGCAGAGAAAGAATTTTTGGACTTTTGTGAAGTTTTATCTTCTTTCTTGGTCTTTTTTTTTTTGTCGATAAGCAAATAACTTTCTGCATGCGAGCGGCCTTGCAAAAAGCTATTTTTGGCGGATAAAGAATCGATCAATTGAATCTTTTGTATGAAGGAAACAGATGGATGGATTTAATAAATGACGGAGCGATGAGTCATCATCGCACAGGTATGCTGAACCAACGAGGGATTTAATAATTCGTGCACGGAAGGATCATGCAGGTTTTGGGTACCACCATAAAAGCTGTATATATGGTTACTTAATAGTATGATAATACATAATACATATATCTAGGAGACTAGGTCTTCCATGTGTGTTCATCCACCTCATCCTTTCAATGCATGTCCTCTCTGAGTTGAGGGCAGAGTGATTCCTGAGCCTTGTCTTATCCTCTCCTTTGCTTACATCTTCATTTCACACTCCTTACTTTCCGTTACGTTCTGTTACTTCCTGTTACTTTCTGTTAGCTTGTGTTAGCTTCTGTTACTTTCTGTTACTGTTACTTTCTGTTACTTTCTGTTACTTTCTGTTACTGTCACTTTCTGTTACTTTCTGTTACTTTGTGTTACTGTTACTTTCTGTTATTTTCTGNTTACTTTCTGTTACTTTCTGTTACTTTCTGTTACTTTCTGTTACTGTCACTTTCTGTTACTTTCTGTTACTTTGTGTTACTGTTACTTTCTGTTACTTTCTGTTACTTTCTGTTTGCTTCTGTTAGCTTCTGTTATGGTTTCCGTTCGTCTTCCTTTGCTTTGTTGTCTTCTCTCTCTCTCCATCTCTCTTCCCTGCGTTTATCCCTCCCTCCCCCCTTAGTCGCCTCTTTCTCACAGCATACGAGTGGGCTTTTGTCGCAGACGGGGATGCCGGCAGCTCTCTACCAGGCCTAGGAAATGAGCACACCAGCAACAACCGAAATGTACAATCCTTACTTTCCATTTGGTTTCCCTTTGTCTTCCTTCGCTTTGTTGTCTTCTCTCTCTCCTTCTCTGTTCCGTGTGTTTATCCCCTCCCCCCGCCCTTTACTTTGCCTCTTTCTCACAGCGTACAAGTGGGGGCCGTTATGGCACACGGGGATGCTGGCAGTTTGCACTCAACTTCATCAACGAGGTGACCGTTTTACGTATGAGGGGCATAGTAAAGGTGGAGTTAAAAGAAGAATGATAACAAAGAATGGTTTCACTGTGCTCTTCGTGTTTGTCTTGCGTATTTTCATCGTTTGTTTTGTAAAGTGGGCTCTTTTAGCTCATAGATATATGACGATGTTACGATGTATATATATATATATCCTCGTTTGTTGTCCTCTTCTCCCTCTCTGCCTACGGTTTACCGGGCAGTTCTATTTGACGATATATATATATATATATATATATGATATATACACAGCCCCTCGTTTGTTGTCCTCTTCTCCCTCTCTGCCTACGGTTTACCGGGCAGTTCTATTTTACGATATATATATATATATATATATATATATATATATGGAGGGATTCGAACCCCCGACACCGTGGTTCGTAGCCACGTGCTCTAATCCACTGAGCTACAGGCCCCATGACATTCCGATCCATGGGGAGTCAAAAAGATCTAAT